AAAAGTTGATTGTATTCTAAATTAGCAAATGGTAGAGTTTCACGTGGAATTATGTAATTCAAAATTGTGTCGTGAATTGCATAAGGCGCCCGAAGGGTACTGTACTTATTGAACAATGTTTATTTCGCTATCAATGTTTTGCTTATTCGAATTGTGCATCATATGCAAACGAGCACGAACCAATCTCAAGCCAACGTAGGTTGCCGCAAACTCTGAGTTACGACCAAATTTGTGAGAAAATCGAGATTTGGCAATCACGCATGAGCAGGAAGCCCATGTTGGCAAGGGTCTAATGTGAAACGTTGACAAGGTGGTTCATCAATTGACTCGGACATGAACCAACACGATTTAAGGTGGCGACCAAAGCCAAGATCGAGCCTATGTCGTCGCCTTGATTGTGGTGGACATGAGCTAGCGCCTTCTACATGCTCCGACATCTGCGTACTCTTGGTGTTGACCTACGGGCTCTCCATTCGACCCGTCTTAAAACATAGACCAAGGAGCCCGACATGTGTGTGGGTTGTTAACTCACAAACCCGTAAGGCTCAAGGAAGTTGATTGGTGTGATCCCTTTGAAGGATGCAATGTCGATTGACTTCAGTCTTCCGAAAAGGATTTTTAAGTGTGATTATACATGTCGAGACTCGAAAGATGATAAATTATGTCTCAGTAGAGCGAAGCCAGAGGAAACTCTGGTGGAGACCTTGCACTTGTCTATATTTCCAATGTAAGGGAGCTCTTATATAGGGGAAGCTTTTGGATGTGTCAAGATGAGAGTTTTGAGTATAGGGATCAAATATTATTAAAGGATTAAGTTTAGATCTATACATAATTTCCGACACGGTGCATGATGATAAGGAACGTGATAAGAGCATATGAAGTTTGAAGTAATTATTATTATTATTATTTTTTATCGAACTCTTAAGTGAAGGTCAAATTGTACGTCACTAGCAAGTTTAAAGTTTCGTAAAAACAAAAAAGGTTTATGTGGTGCCCCATAGAGATGGCAACGGAGCAAGTATGGATCGGGGCTTTATCATTTCTCTCCCGCCCCGTCGGATATTTTTGTCACCTTCCCTCACCCCCATATTCAGTTAAAGTCGAAAAAGGTACATTCAGGGTAGGGTAAGTATATCGCCTCGTTTATTATACTTATTTTATTTTTTTACGTCTTTAGTTAGTGAATTTTTTTTTTTCAATTTATTAAGAACAACTAAATTCTCTTTGAAAATGATAATAATTTTTTTCTTTTTGTTTGATAAAAACTTAAATTTGAAATTAACTTTAAACGATGCGAATAGCAAGACAGAGACCGTGTTTCCTATACCCACCTCATATCCGCTTCCAAGCAACGATTCTCATCCCACCCTCACCCCATTTATCCAATTAGACAAGTAATTCTCGTGCCATTTGAGACGGGACCTATGGGTATCGGGTTTAAAAAATTGACTATATATTTACTTAAAAGTCTTTTTGTTTTACATATTCTACATATTTTACAACAATTTGCACATATTCAATTTTTTATAATATACTAGTTTTTGTCCGTGCG